AAGAATTCGAGACATAAAAAATCTCAAATTAATTGCAAATGTATGTGCGAAAATAAAAGTATCGGGTGTATAAACCCCGCAAATGTTAATCATTGTGCAGTGAGGTTGGGCACATATTCCAAATAAAGTGTACGAACTCATCCTCATCATCATTGTTATCTGTAATAATTGCGTGCTTGTCGTGCAGTGGTTGAAGCGGCCACAGTTTCGTTCGTCGATGATTTGGGGGAGGGTACGTAGCTGCGCACTGCAGACAGAGGATGACAAATTGGTTCATAAATCCAGGACTGTTGGTAAGATGTCATGTGGGGATTGGGGAGCTATGCACTGAAGACAATATTAGGATGTACGAGCGCCATTGAATGTACGACTGGGCCATGTCCGACATCGTCTCTAAACATTGATCTAGCCTTCTCGGGGCCCCCATCCAGGAAGACAGCAGTGGCCAGTGCAGCTGAGTTTGCTGGTACTGCCTTTCAAACTTCGCTTCCAAGTCATTGTTTGACCGCTTTTGGTTCTCTTCCACCCTTCACGTGGTTGTGGGAACACAGCCCTTCGAGAAGTCGGTCGACTAGAATACACAGCACGTGGCCAAGCCAGCGCAACCTATGCAGTGTGACCAGTTCCTCTATCGAGGATAAGTTATTTTTCCCGAATACCGTTCGACGTACTTCAGCATTGCTGATCCGATGTTCCCACCAGATACGGGCAAAGCTCCGAAAACATCGATGGTCAAATACTTAAAGTATTTGACGTCCTCAGCGCGCATCTGCCAGGTTTCTGATCCATATAGTAATATCGAACACACCGCAGCATTGTAAACTCGACCCTTGACAGATAAGCTGATGTCACGCCTACGCCACAGGTGACGTAGGTTCGCAAAAGCTGCTCTGGCCTTCCCAATCCGGATGGAAATATCATCTTTCGCAGGACCACCGGGACTGATACAGCTGTCCAGGTCAGTAAATTTGTCTACTACCTCAATCGGTTCATCCACAAGCATGATGCTAGGGTTCGAGCCCACCCACTCTTGCAGTAGCACTTTACTCTTTGCAAGTGTGAAGCTCATGCCCAACTGTGAGGCAGAATTATTTATATTTTTAATATTGTGAGCATTGCCTACGAAGTCATACCCAACAAGCGTTATGTCGTTTGCGTACTCTATGTGTGTGTGCGGAGATCCAGGGGGCACTTCGACCGCACAGGCATTAAGGGCTGGCAGTGAGTCTTCTATGATCGTCTCAATGACGAAGTTGGAGAGGAAAGGTGAAAGAGGACAGCCCTATCGGAGGCAACTTGATATAATGAACTCAGGCGAGAGCTTCTCGTAGACCTGTACACGGCCGCGGGAGTTGACGTACAGCGCCCTAATGAGGGTCAAGAATTGGTGGGGGGCACCTCCGCTCCACAGACACTGCCATAGTGCTTGGTGGTCCATAGAGCCAAAGGCAGCTTTCAGATCAAGAAACACAGTCATTTTTTGCTGCTAGAAGCATTGTTCCTGTTCCACAATCTGTCAGAGGTTAAAGGCATGATCGATGTAACCTTTGCAGAAGGGAATCCAGCTTGGTTTTCAGGGATCTGCCTCTCTCCTTGTTCAGTCAACCTTCGAAGAATAAGGCAAGAGAGCATCTTCGATGGCACAGCTAACAGGCTGATGCCACGGTAGTTTCCACGTAGCGTACGCGTACCCTTTTTGAAGATAAGGATAAATGTCGACATGCCCCATTCTGCAGGTTGTGAGCATTGCCTACGAAGTCATATCCAACAAGCTATGTCGTTTGCGTACTCGATGTGTGTGAGCGGAGATCCAGGGGGCACTTCGACCGCACAGGCATTAAGGGCTGGCAGTGAGTCTTCTATGATCGTCTCAATGACGAAGTTGGAGAGGAAAGGTGAAAGAGGACAGCCCTATCGGAGGCAACTTGATATAATGAACTCAGGCGAGAGCTTCTCGTAGACCTGTACACGGCCGCGGGAGTTGACGTACAGCGCCCTAATGAGGGTCAAGAATTGGTGGGGGGCACCTCCGCTCCACAGACACTGCCATAGTGCTTGGTGGTCCATAGAGCCAAAGGCAGCTTTCAGATCAAGAAACACAGTCATTTTTTGCTGCTAGAAGCATTGTTGCTGTTCCACAATCTGTCAGAGGTTAAAGGCATGATCGATGTAACCTTTGCAGAAGGGAATCCAGCTTGGTTTTCAGGGATCTGCCTCTCTCCTTGTTCAGTCAACCTTCGAAGAATAAGGCAAGAGAGCATCTTCGATGGCACAGCTAACAGGCTGATGCCACGGTAGTTTCCACGTAGCGTACGCGTACCCTTTTTGAAGATAAGGATAAATGTCGACATGCCCCATTCTGCAGGCACTTTCTCTCCGTCCCATATAGCACCAAAGCTTTGTCAGGTGGGTCACAAGGAATTTTTCGCCTTCTTTGAAGAGGGCTGGATACATACCGTCCGGTCCTGGTGCCTCCTCACGTTTCAATGCGGCCTAATTTCTTCTTCCGAAGGCGAACCAAGGTTTATCTTCCATTCGCCCTTATGCACTATTTCCACGGGATGTGTTGCAGGAGGCCAGCTGAACTACTCTTCGAAATTCTTGCCCATCTTTCCAGTCGACGCTTTTGCGAGTGAATTAATGAGCCATTTTATCGTTCCGCTGACCGGTGCTTTCCTAGGGCCAGTCGATCATATCAGTTCATACAGGGCACGGCTGTTTCACATAGCAAAAGCCATCTCCATCTGCCGAACTCTTGAGGTCCACCAGAACTCTCCGTGTTTCCTTATACGCTTCACTATTTGGAGTTTACAGGATTTACGTGTGCCGTCGAACTCGTTGTCCGTTGGTGTGGCTTTCCTGCCATCAATCATGGATAGCGACCTTGACGACATCCAGTGGTCTTGTGGTCAACTGTAGAAGCCGGACAGGCAGCACTAAACGCCGCTACCATAGCTCCTTTTACAATTTGCCACGCTTCATCCACATGCTCACTGCCGTCACAGAATTGCTTCACTGCGGAGAGCTGTTGGGCCAGCTCAGATCGATACTGTCAACCTATGGCTGATGGATTTACATGATCGTTGCCAACTTGCGAGGGCCTGAAGTTTAGCGTGGCGTGCGCACACCATGGCGTGATAGGAATCAAGTGATGTGTCCCAGAAGGAGCCACAGTCTTGAATTGTTGCTCTCCAATGGTGGCTGGTGGCCACGTTGTCTAATGGGTCCACGGTTGACTTGAAGTTGTCGGGCACCAGGTTTCGCAATATATTCCAAGAGTCATCGCTTCTGGGTCCCCGGACGCACGAAAGGGTAAAAGTGAAAGAGCTGTTTTCATCCTTGGCGTTCTGAGATACATAACCGCGCTCGGGTCTTGTATGTGTGCTTCGGAGACACAGCATATGCTGATTTTAAGGGAGTAGATTTTCCAGCACACATTACCTGTTTTGCAGTTTGACACCAAATACGTAAGTTAAATGTGCATCCCTGCTTCCATAAATATGGACATCCTGGTCGCCTAGGGGAAACAACTTACTGCCTTCATACTCCTGTCGCAGAGGACAATACGAATTTACCCCCAGACCGCCCCGTATCACGATTACTCGTAGTACGGAGTCTTGCTGCTTTTGACCTGTCTGCTCTCCTCTGACCTCCTGACATGGGTGCAATTATGAAAACGAATTTCCAGACGTTGTAGCTCGCGGGATCATTGCAGCACTCAAGGTGGCAGCTTTAGGTCGGTAGGTGTACGGACCACATAAATAAAAAGCTATCTTCACTGGCGAATTTTATCCCGGATTAAGCGAAAAATTTGCATCAGCTTGCTTCAAATCGACAAATTTTCAAATATTGGTTCCTTCTCAATCAGACATACTTGTAAAATAACCGTGTATTTACTAAATCAATGGCGCTTTTTCTGTTTATTAGTTTAACATTGTAACTAAATTTGGCAGTGGCCAGTTTAAATTGTCAGAAATCCTGCCGCTTCAGAGTACCAATTTTGATTTGAGAGAAAATAGGATCTTAAAAAATATACTGCGTTGCGAACACGTTTCAACCTCTACGGTATTTCTGGAACTATCAAAGACCCCCTCATCTAATTGCTACTGGAGTATTGCAATGTAACTCCCACCACCTGGGTTCGCACGACGTGGCTAAGTAACGTTTGGTTCCTGGAGAGCAGTCCTCGTTCCCTACAGGCTTTTCCGCTTTCGCCCTTCCGAAGTGAATATGTCCGAAATTGGTTGCTCACCGTGGCTCCCTGATTAGGATAATCGTCTTGCGTAAACGTTTCCAACACCAAACAGTAAGAAACTCTGAATAGGGTATATATCGCCTGAGTCAACAACTGTGAGCAAAGTCAATCCAGGTCCGTTCAGGTGAACTTCCACATCTTTGAAGCTGCTGTTAAATATCCCGCGTTACCGAACCACTTGAACTTTCTAAGAGTTTGCCTTTGAAACACATGGCAGACATCTCTTCAGGTTTCATTCTATAATCTTCCGTGACTGGCCGAATACGAAGTGATCATTCTTTTCATTTCTGGGGTTGTTTTTACCTTCCACTGATAACCGCTCTTCCCCCTCCGCCTCTACGGTCTCAAGGACACGCGANGCCACATTGGTCCAATGCCTTCAAGTTGCTGGAGTAAAATGCATTGGGGAGAATATTGGATGGAGAAACTCAGCTACCGTGCAAGACTAAAGCTTCAGTGCAGGCGAGATTTTCGGCTTTCGGGAACGGGATGTTTTGTATTTTGTCCGATTCAGCAGAGTATTTTCAATCCATATTAACAGTACGAAGGTGAGCGCGGTGTAAAAGTATCCAGATAGTTTGCACTGAGCAGTCCCATGGTGGAAAGACCACGGGAAAGCAGTTCATCACTAAGACTGCTCGCAGGACCCTGCCAGCATTTTGTGATGTCAAGAAGCCTCATCGGCACGGACCCGGCACCGTCGCACTGCCGGAAATTATTCGTTGAATTGAGCTCTTGATCCACAATGTTCCATTCCAGCGCTTTGTCCGTGAATCTTTGCAGTGGAGTGTTTTCTCGGGTCGTGTACTTGTGTTTCCGGGGTTAACACCCAACTCTTCGCAGGGCACCGGATAGAACGGTGATGCCCTCACGTAAGCCTCGTGTGAATCTCTCGGGGTGAATTTGGAGCGATTGCTGGAGCCCTGATCAGGAAAATTGGTGTGCCGTGAACCAGGAACAAGAGTTTTAATATTATTGTGAAGCCTTAGTGGTTTATTGACCGGGGAAAGCAATATCTTCTAGCTTGACACCAATTTGATATCAGATCGTAACAAGAACAGCATCAAACGTCGAGTTCCGTCCTGAAGGACGGTTTACACGTCTGTCACACCAACACGCTGGTAGTGACTTTCGCAGAAAATGGTTATTGAGAATTACCTTGAAGGAGGCTGCAGAGATTACCGGTGCTCCCGGTAATTGCTTTCGAATGTTAGTGAGGGAGGGCACATGCATCTAAACAGAAGATCACATAGCGGACTTTAGGGTTTTTTGAGAATCCCACCGAATTCGAAAGTACCATAGGGAAGAATTATCTTCAGTTTGATAGAAAAAACATTAGTGAAGGTGTCATCAAACAACTTTGGAGAGGGATGAGGAACTGTAAGATTATCACCACACTACTTTTGAAAGCGCATGAAATGTTTGAATACGCTTGGCCCAGTCGACGACCTGGAGTGCACGCCTACCATCTCATTTAATGCAAACAGAGATCAGACACTTTTGCAATGTGTTTCAGAGGCGGAGTTGATGGGACTCTAATATTTGGAGAATATTCGAAGAAGCAAATTCCTGGGAGAGTTTACCACGTTCCCTTGGTCCCTAGTTCACCTCCGGTCAAACACTGGATCGTTCAGGTCGAAAGGTGAGTGCAAGGACAATACTATGCGCATAATTTTTATATATTAAATATGTATAATTCTAGTCGTTTGTTGGTGATCGGTGGTTAGGGCACGATTTCACCAACAGGAGGGTCCGTGTTTCGAACCCAGACTCTGCCTCACAACTTGCCCCGTCTGGGCTTGGAAACCTAGCGGTAGCCCAGCATTTGTGCTTTCTTCGGGTGGCATGGCAGTTAGGGGCACCGAAAGGGTGCTATAGCTGAACCGTGTTGCTATCAGGAAAATCCTGGCCAAAGCGTCCGACTATTCGAAGACTCCCACCTTGGGTTGATATCTGTGTAGCTATGTTTAACCTCAATTTGTAATCTATGTACGGGCGACCACTGTGAGCTATGGGTTTCTGATGGGAACTGGTTAAAACACGTATAGCACATGGGCGATTTAGATTGAAGTGACGCAAAGGACAGTAAAGTTTGGCTCATGAGTTCCCAAGGGAATTCAGCACTACCCATTATTAATCTAACAAAGCCTATAACAGATCTTTGTGAAGATGAGTGAAGCTTTCAGATCGATTCCGAACTGTAGAAGCCATACCTGAGTTTAAAATCTGCGAATTCCGAAATAAGTTAGGACTGGAGTTGAAGAATCGGTAGCGTAAGAGTAGTCAATTCCACTTGCTTTCTGTACATAGTATTTAACGAATCGTACTCGAAGAAGACAGGTGATGGCTTCTAAGTATGTGTGTTCTCCCATTCTGTAGCTAACCTGGAGTGGCAGCACAAAGATCTGAGCATGGTTTCAAATTGGGGGCCAAACTCAGTAAATTTGGACATTAGGCCGCACACTTATCCTAACTCAAATGGCTCGCGAAGCCGTTAGCTGTTTAACTGTTTAGCTGAAATGTCCCGGTCAGTGGGTCTATAAACTGCAACCGTTGTTCTGCTTTTGCATAAAAATTATTCGGATGACAGCTGACATTTGTAGAAAAACTTCGAACAATGTCATGGTTAATCTAGCCCGCTGGTTGCGTACAAATTGGGTAGTGAGTAAACTAAATAGTCAGTCTGGTTTGAAAACATCCGTCTAAAACAACCGACTTCTGTTTCCTTTTTTCAGCATTACTTGCGAAGATGGTACTGTCTTGCTCGAGAACTTCTCGGCGCTCCTGGACACCGGCTCCACTAAATCATATCTTCCTCCACCATTCGTCAACCGTCTTTTCAGTGGGGATTGGGCCATGCCGAATGAAAGTGGAGACATATCATGTGATGCCATGCTGGAAATGCCCGAGCTGAAAGTGAAATTGCCTGAGCTCCACTTATCCTGGGGTGCGATGCAATACATTATACAGGTAAAAAAACTTCTTTTGGGTTTCAAATGTTTGAGGTTTCCAGTCTGACAAACGGTTACGTTTATTTGGAACTTTTCAAAATCTCACTTTATGTGCCGGACTTTATGTGCAATTTGGAGTGCGGTAACAATGAGTGCTATCCAGGCCGGGCACACGGTGGAATCATCGATATTGGAATAAAATATGCCGGGTCACAGCAATACAATCATAACGGCCACTCTAAACGATCTCACTGTTGCTGAACGCTGGTCAAGCATAGATTCTAAATGACGAAGTGGCTATCGTAGGTGGATAAAAAACCACATGTGCTCTCTATGCCAAGCGGTTTATTTAAACACTTCACATGTGTATCGCTGATCCGTATTCAGCACGCCAAAATCGGTACGCAGGTGCCGCAATATAGGAGAGCGTAAGTTGAGCCGAATCGCTTAGATAGGGTAAATGTGAACGTGTTTTCACTGACGAGATTCTGGTCACATCGTGAACTGAATGGGCGGTCTGCCATTTGCCACTGGTAGACGAGTGCCACTAACTCTCAATACGACAAGAAAATATCAGCATAATCAAAGAAAGCCCCGGGATGATGAAAGTTACACTGGACGCATGGCCAAATAACCTGTGGACTTGGAAAAATATTTTCGACAATGTCATGCAAACTGAGGTACCTGACAGTTGATCAAAATAAATGTAAGGAATCCGTACGGCCATCAACCTCCGAACATTTGCTGTACAGAGTGGTTTTGAAGTGTGCAATTAACGGCCATGCGATAACCCAACTCTGACGCTGAAGTCGTTACAGGGAAACAATGTACATTGGGAAGCCACTATAGATAACAGAACGTTGATTGTTTCCCAAGAATTGTTGATTTCACCAAGCCCCATGAAACCGAAAGGCATTATTCTCCGAAACTTCCGTTGATTTTGTTCTAGTCATCATCAGCCAATTACATTCTGTATAATCTAAAGCAAAGCCCGTCACGACCGCAAATCAACCAGACAACTCAAGGCTGGATTGTTTCCCAAGAATTGTTGATTTCACCAAGCCCCACGAAACCAAAAGGCATTATTCTCCGGAACTTCCGTTGATTTTGTTCACCTGATTTTTGGATTGGTCATTTTCCAACCTTCAACATTTTGAAGTGCTTAATTTGAACTACTTCTGACTTGTTCATGAAGTCCGGTTTGTCCATGATGGCTACCAGCGTCCCTTATAAGTTTACAGTTCACGGATCCATGGATTGATACACAGGATGGAGGTTTTTGCCCAAGTTTCCCTGGTCGGTTGTTGTCCTTCAGCGACCGTTGTTCACCTGAAAGTTACAAGTTAAAAAGGTGTAGCATTACACTTTATTTTCTCAGCGCGGGGCAGTTTGTTTGCCAGAGCGAGGTCTTGCTTAAACAGGTGTCTAATAGTGCTTTGAATTGGGTTGTAGAATGAGCGTGGACAACCATCAGGGGACGGTCCCTCCACACAGCTACCGCCCAAAATGAGGAAAAATTTGCCTAATGAATGTATGCTTTCCGAGCTTGAAAATATTCTTCCCATGC